CTACTTCTTAGCATCAACTTACTACGCGTACATTATTTTAATTCCTATTATAACATTAACATTTCAACTAGCATATTATTTAAATTAGTTACAGTGTATTTGACGTTACTTTAAACTTAAAATGTGACTAGAAAATATTTTACGTATTATTTTCTAATTAATATCATTTTTTTTTTATAAACAATTCTAATTACAGTTATAAAATAAATTAAATAAAAATAAATATATATTGTATATTTATTTTTTATTCAAAATTATCAAAAATATAATAATAATAATAATAAAATAATATTATTTTTTTATTAGTTCTTACTTTTTATAAGGCTCCAAAAATTATGTATAAATACAAGAGAAAACTTTAAAAGTAAAAAATGTTTTAATTTATACAATTTATATTAATTCTCATTTAAAATATATGAATAATACATAAAAATTAATGTCATTATCAGTTGTTCTCCGTAAATGAGGTATGTATATATTTTAAATATAACATAAGTATACCTATGCCTACTACTGTAATTTTTTCTCACCCAGTCAATTCATTTCTATTCATATTTCAAGTACCTAAATTCATTTAAAATAAATTACTCTAAAATTATATATTTTATTAATATTCCCATATGCATATCACGTGATACGAGTACGTGATTTATTACATAATTATAAAGGAAAGATAATTTTTTTACTAATGTTATTCATCGCGATATACCTATCCTTCGTATAATTATTGAATATCATATTATTTATCGATATAAAAACCTTCAAAATAAATCAAATAATCAGCTATACAACTAAATAGGAAACCGCATTTCTAGATTCTTAAAAAAAAAGATGTAGGTACATTGATTTTTAAAAAATATTCATAAGAATATAAAATAATTTTCCAAACTAAAAGCCATTATATTATTTACTACAAAATTTGTGTCATTTAAAATCCCTAGAAATTGTATTAGGTGTTATAATTTTGTATCTGATTAACAAGCAATTATTACTATTTCTTTAATTACTCCAACTTTTTTTTTATAATTAATGGACATTAAAATTTGATATTCTACCTTGCATTACCTGGTGACACGTCAAAATATCCCTGCAAAAATATTCCATGAAAAAATATCCCGCGTAAAAATTTCCCGGATAAATAATAACTCAAAATGTTGACCTTTATCATAAAAGTTGCAATTAGAAGTAATAATCGCACTTTATCTAAAGTGAATGTGTGTTATTCGTTAATTGATGATAGTATAGATAGTGTCATTTTATTTCATTACCTACAAAACGTGTCGTGAGCATTTAACGTTGATAATGTTATTTCTGCATTTGAAAAACTAATTAATTCCGACTATTACGTAGAAAATGAGGAAGACTTACAAACAGTTGTTGATTATTTTAAAGATACATGGATAGGGGGCTAACACGTGGTGGTAGATGAAGAGCTCTTATTTTTCCAATTAAAGTATGGAATATGCTGATGCTATAATGCAAGGTTCTCCCAGGACAAATAATGCAGTAGAGAGATGGCATAGAGCATTTAATTCTACACTGGGAGCTAACCATATAACAGTGTGTAAATTCATAAACATGTTGAAGAGAGAACAAGGTCTACAGGAAGCAAAAATCAAACAACAAATAGCTGGAGTGCCTCAACAGAAAAAAAAGGCGTAAATATAAAGATTTGGATGAGCGGTTAGTTACTGTTGTAAAAGGTTATAGTAACACTAATAAAAATAAATATTTAAAATCTATAGCACATAACTTAATATTATAATACATGTTTTATTTTGTATAATTTTTGACTAACCATTTCAATATTTTTGTATTCTATAATTTTTTTGATAAACCATACCATTTTTAATATATTTTTAATAACTTGTATTTTAATAAATATATAACCTTTGACGAAAACCGTACCATTTTTAATATTTTTTTTTTTAATTACTTGTATAGTACAAAATGTATTAGCATGTATGTAACATGTATAAAAAAGTTTAAATTTTGAATTAATATTTACAGGAGATATTATATCATGGAATATTTTTGCGGGGATATTTTGACGAGGATATTTTGTCGTGGAACCCATTACTTTAGTATTCGCACGGTACGAAAATTATTTTATAGCAAAATTACCATTAAAATATAATTAATAGGTCCAACTTATTCATAGCTGTATTTGAGATTAAAAACATGAATTATTTTTGACTCATAATTCATAAAACTAAAAGTTTTTTCCAGTTATGTGAACTAAGGACTAAACTACGGTAATTTTAGAACTTACCTCATTGTAATAAAAACTTAAATAGACAGTTTATGTATTGCAGACTAAAACCACATTCTGTTACCTAATACCTTGTATATATTATTTAATCAATGATATAACTCGTAACTGTACTATGTTTTACTAGTTATATGGTTCACAAGCAATTTATTAACATTGAGATTAAAAATATGGCAGATACGTTATACTATGATAATATTGTTTTATAGATGATGCATACCTATAAATTGTCATATATTTGTTAGCTCGTGTATGAGGTAGATACTCGTATAAATAAAATATAATTGATTTATAACCACAGAATATGATTATTTTTGTTTTCAATAAAATATAATAATTGATTATGAGATAAAAAATTATTTTTCAACTTTTCAATTAATTTGTGAACAATTATGTATATATTTTTCACGCACACGTGCAAGTGATACTGCTTATGAATTAATAGATGTTATAATTTATTTTTATCCGCTTATTACATATATGTATACGTTTTACCAATGCACTTATATACATATATTGTAGAGTATAAAATGTTTACAGTAGGTAATTTTTTTCCACTTCCCGTCATTGTTTTCCGAGTGTTACGTCGCACGTGCTATGAAACAAAACAAAATAAAAAAAAAAATAAACGATAATAGTATAAATGACAGTATTAATGGGGCACACGCACAAGACAATAACTTCGGGACACGAGCTAATTGTTTAATACGCGTTCATTAAGAAAAAAACACTAATTGACTTAAAAGATTTTTAAAAAAATTATAATAATAACAAAACGGATTGGCGATAACCGGTTTGCTCGTGTAGGTCACACGATCGTATGAGGTGTCCTGGAAAAAAATGTAAAAAAGGGTTGCCGGCGAGTGTCCGAAAAGGGTCGACCGAAGCGGGAAAGGGTCATCATTGTCGATATATACAGGCATATATTATACATTAGGGTGTCCGTGGGAAATCGTCCCATTGTCCCGTAGTGGACACCCGGGCGTGATTATAATATGTGCGCGCGTGTGTATCGCAATGTCTACGATGTGTCCTCTTCGAAATAATAAAAAAATCATAATATAATATCTGATTGGGAATAATAATAATATTGTAAGAGGTGTCCCGGTGTGGGAACGTCAACGAGAACCGGTGTGATGGGAAACTCACGATATATCGGTTCCTATTTCAGACAATAGCTAGATGATCGTTTTCGTTTCGGAATATCCGGTTTTCAAATGTCCGGTAAAGGGTTATTATATTCAATAGTATGTCTATTCCGTTTCGGAATAATTCCTATACTGTATTACAACATATGTATAGGTGCTTGTTGGTCAATATCATAATATTATGCATCGTGCGATTATCCAAACTGCATGTGTTTTTCTTTTTTAATACTTAACGTATATTACCGACGATTTATGTCAGAACGTTATATCCGCACAACGGTTAAATTTTCTCACGGGAGACGTAATCCATGCCATAAACATATTATAAATTTAACTAAAAAGTTGTTTTTTTTTTCGTAAAATGTATAGTTATCTACAAATATGAAATGTTTTATTAAATTACCTTGTATATTATAAATAACTATTGTTATAATAAGCAATTTATATTTTATAGTACACACTGACTGTTTCAAATAATAATTGGTTATCACATACAAAAAAGAATTCCATTAACCGCGGATTTTTCACTAATTTAAACGTTAAATAATTTTAAGTAGTTTAAGTCGTTTGAAATTCGATCATTATGCATTTAAATTCTCAGAAAGGTTTCCTACTAAAGAATATGAAATTATAAATATATTTAAGCAATCTTTTAAAATGACCATGTAAAAAATAAAAAATTAATTTTATCAAAATGTTGTTTTGTGTACTGACTAAAAATTATCTTTTTATTAAATATTAATCTGTAAATAAACAACAAGAATTCTAATTGAGACTTAAAGATTTTCTAAAAAGTCCATGTTTCAAATCAAAAGTAGCTAGGTTAATACCTATAGTACTACCTAGTAGTAGCTACCTATACTACTTATAGTAATAAGTTATTTAAAAAAATAAAGTTACATTTATAACTTGAAATTATTAAAATAATATTATTACAACAATTTTAAATCCTACGCAAACATAATATATTATTATTATTTATTATTATTTATTTTTTTTTTTTTTGGCTTAAAACAAACTATTCAGGTCCTTTGCCACAACCACCACTTCCTCCATCTGTGTTTATCCGTGACTAGCTCTTCATCGTTCAGGATTCCCAGCATATCCAGGTTGCTATGGACCCTGTCCATCCATCTTTGACTTAGATGGCCGAACGATCTTTTACTCTTCGACTTCCAGCTGGCGACTTAACCGATGTGTTATTAAAATGTATTTACTACATTAAATCTGCTGTCCATCATCGAAACGCGCGTCCATAATAATATTAACGTGCAACCAATATTATGGACAACAAAGTGATACCTTATGTAATATATATTATATAACTTTAATAATCTAGAGTATTTAATAAACGTATGTTCTTAATATTATCAGCGACGACTATTGCCGTAGGTATAATATAATGTATGTAAATTGCAATACGCAGTATATAATACATATTATATTATATTAAATTATTATTAATAATAGACATACACGCGATGAAATGCTTACACCGCAGTCTGCAGTAGATTCGTTTGCATGTGAGATTATACGACGTATAGCCACAATTGAAACAGATTATGAGAGCGCTTCAAGGATGCAGAGATAATCAGTTTTTGTAATTAAATTTACCACAGGATAATGGATATAATATCGTCATATAATCGTCAATAATTACATGGGATAGGTAAGTATAGCAGTATTATTTAAGTTATTTAACCTATTAACTTTATGTATGTGTATATAAAAATTAAAATATAATATGATAATCAATAATAACGTCTTTACACGGAATAATAATAATAATTACAAATCACCATTTGACTGTTAAACATTTTATTTCTCGTACTAACACCTATGTATTTTAACTCATTTAATATAAAAATACCAAATAGCAAACATATATGAGCATACTTAGATTTTATCAAAGATAAGTGCTGTACACTAATTAGTAATTAACCTATAATATTTACATTATTACGGCTTTTAAATTAAATACCACTCGTACAAACCAACATATTTGACTTAACACGAGAAGTAACGGTTTCGTATTTTTAAAGTTTATGCCCTTAAAACTTAACTTTAAAAACTCATATTAGCGTCAAGACATAAGCGGTAATGAATATTATAAAATAAAATAAATATAATCAAAAACCCCTTTATTAATAAATAAAATAAACGTGATATTAAAAACACATATACCGTTACTACACAAACATCACTTCTGCCGATACATCACGGCTCCTATTTCATCATGACGGCATGTTTATGTCGATTCAATAATGTCCTATTAAATATAATATGCGTTTCTACATTTCGCAGATCCACAATATGCACGTATGATACGCACCCAATTGTCACCAAAATTAAAAATATTTGTTTATAATGATTAATATTTCTCAATGGACATAAACCAAATCATCGTTTTCGAGTTGCAAAAACTAAATCTGTGTGAAAACTAAAAAGTTAGTTTTGTGCATAAACATTAAACAGGTTTACATCAAATATTAAAGACAACGTCAAACGAAAACCAATTACACCGTAATATTCAAAGTATAATGTACACTATGCAAGATTTATGGACACATATAGATAAACATAAAATAGAATAAAATACAATTTTAATTTTTACAGTAAACCATAATCTAATGCAAGATATCTATTTAAAATCTGTTTAAGTAATGTAAATATTATTAATGTTGTCGACATACCACTATTTAAATGTGAAAGTTTTTTTTTTTTTTTTTAATAGGTTGTTCATTTTTTTTTTTTAGAAATAAAAATATTTATGGAGTTTTCACTTTTCCCAAATTATAACATAATATGTGTTGTATGTAAGATCTGATATAAAAAGCGGAACAATCCTACTAAAGATGATATTGACAGCGAGTTTTTTAATTTATATTTAGCAACCCGCTTAACTAGTTTTACTAACTCTCTTCGTCCGTTTCTGCAATACCACTCAATACTGCAACTAATAAAAAACATATATCTACGATAAAATTTCCTTTCGTATCAATATATGAGATTGAAATTGAGTTCGTTAAATATATATTTTAAACACGCGTATTTTTACAATATTATATTTATCACTCATGTAGTCGCTATATTGGTACAATACTACAATAGTTTATTATTAAATATGCGCACTGCGAAAATTTTATCATTATTGACAAACTTCTGCGACAAACTTAATTACTCATTCTTTGATGGTAAATTTGCTTCTGAAATATTTTTTCATCGCCTGTTGCTTGTATATAATATTAATATAGGTACACTTATGTACTAGTAATATCATTATTGTTTAAATGTAGAGTCAACTAACCATTATTATAGATTATTGGGTGAATTTAAACGTAACGTCTTTATAACTAAAAATTATGGTTACTGATTAGCTTATGATATCTAAATAAAAACATATATAATAAACTGTACAATATAATAGGATATTCTATAGCTACAAGTAATGTACGTTGTAAGGGTATAAAACTATAAATTGAAATTTGAAAATTATCCATCGTCAAAATAATTTAGTACATAATTGTGGATTGTCTTAAATACTCTGAATATTTACAAAATGGAAAGTATCCTTGGAAAAAAAACATTATCAATAGCGACAATAACAGAGATATAAATAAAATTATAAAAATGACTTAGTATTAGGTATATTATTTTACATTTTCAGACAATTTTCTAGGTTAAATAATCATTATTACAAGTTTTGCAACACATATAAACAGCTACACTCAAATTTTTACAATATACATAAATTACTTTACACCTATACTTTGTATTTGTCAATTTGTTTTACGTTTTGTTTAACATATGGAGTATAATATTTTGTATTATTGGCCAGTATTAATCATTTCTCTTAAAAGTTTAAAAATATTATAAATTTTGCACTATTAATAAATTATAAATTTGATCGATATTAAGTGAGTGCATATTGTAAATATTTTATTATTATATTTTCACCACTCCCTACACTAAAAGTTTGACTAATGCATAATAACAAATTTTGGTGATAGGTGATTTTTTTTAAAACCTACATTACACCAACTTAGAAAGTTTTGTTTGTATTATATAAAAGGAAACCTTAAAAAAAAATAATCAACTTATAATATATATATATATACGTAACCTCAACAATATACATATTAACTATTGACGTATTATACTAATTTAGTACATAAATTATTAATTAAATACATAAAATAATCTCTTAAAATATATGAAAATAAGCAAACTAAAATTTAATTTTAGAACTTGTTAATTTTTGACTCAAATTTGTAGCTGAACCAAAAACTTTTTGATTTATTCATTAAACATAGAAATGCATGCACTTTCGGGCCTTACTTATGAATTTGCTATAGTATTTAATATTAAATACTAAAATACTATTATATTTTTTTGTATCTTGTATTTTTTTTTTTTTTTTGCATTTAGATATAAATGAAACTATAGGTATTTTCTTTTTGAAATTTAACAAAAAAACTAGTTATTTATTCAAATCGGTTTTTAATTTGTCTCGTGTTTTTTCATTAGTTGATTGACGAAATTGCAAAATAAATAACAATGAATTTAAAATCATTTATAGTAATTTATATTTTATAGTAAAAAATATTTTTAATAAACTAATAAACTAATGACATATAGCCATTTTTCAATTTTTGTCGGACTTTATAAATTATTTAAAATTTATACTTTTGTTTAAACGGGTTAAGTTTTTTCCTCTGAGCCTCCCTTTCATCACGCCATACAAAATCTACACCAGTATATATTCATGCAAAACAAATATTACTTAATGTTGATAATAATAAATTTCAACTGAAAAAAATGAGCGGGAAATTTGATTTTTCCTTCAAGCTCCAACATATTAATAATATTATTATAATAAATGCGATTGTGGACATTGCATAATATTTCTAAACTGCGTTAATTTAAATGGTCGTGATCGTCGGTTGATTTTCCGGCAGAGCACGCGTCCCGAAACTAGTTTGATACATCTTCGCCGCACAAGCTGTCTTAGACTATACACTTATACTATAGGTATGTACTAGAGGTAAGTACTATGTAATTAAAATACCTGTGGTTGGATTTCGCGATATGTATACCACGCACACAGAAGTGTAAAGTAATATTATTTTAAAGTACTACCTCCCATTTATCGAATTACGACCACTGCAGCTGCGTATGTCAAACAACTAATTATTATACGCCTATATCACTCATGTGCGTCATCCGATGAAGCAGACAATTAAAGGGCACTGAAACCCGTTTTAATAAGTATGCATGCGTCACATTATTAACATATACATATAAATAAATAAATGAATATGTATCACATTAATAATTTGTATTATTATTGTTTTATTTTTATTGCACCTGACTTTTGTTCAATTTAGTTTCGTTTACTCACCACGTCTGACGTACCTACCTGATGACCGGGTGTCTGTCTGCCACTGTGCTCGTCCGCAACCATGGCTAGACCGGTTGCACTTTGTCACGGACCTCGCCGGAAACAGTGACCGCAATTTTTACAGGTAACACTAATAATAATAGATACAATCATAGGGACCTATTACCTACCTATTAATAGTATTAATGCGCAATACACTTCTTACTGTTTACCGTATAACAATACATTACATGTTACTATTCTCACCTGTCTTCCCGCCCAAGTGCTGAGTGATGACAATATTATTAAAAACATTTGGTGATAGCATTATTACATTATTTGCATTATAATATAACTCTAATATAAATGCATGAACATGAATATATTATAATTATTAGATTTATTTTATTAATGTATTTATATAACTCATAAGTGTATATTATGTAAATATTTTAATTTTTCAATTTTAATGTTTTTGAACCTCAGTCGCTCTTAAAGCAGACTTCGTTATTGAACTTGCTTTACCTCGTGCAGTCAAAATAATAATTATTACTATAAATTATAATCATAATACAAAATTTTTTTTTGTAAATACATACTTAATTAAGACTTTGTTTTCATAATTTTTTTCAGACTATCTATGTAGAATGTAGATATAATAAATATAATAAGAAACAATAACGTAATTAAACTTTCATCAATAGCCTTATAATTTAAAATAATTTATGTCTTATAATATTTAGCTAAAATTTAAAGTTTAAACAAGACATTTTGAAACCAAAAACTTTTATAAATATAATTAAAATTTAAATAGTTACGCAACAGTATATTATAACTAAATATCTGCAGAATTATATGCACTAAAACAGTGTAAAATAATCGTTTGCAAATTATGTAATTATGCACAAGAAAAATAGAAAAATAAACTCCAATAAGCACAAAAGCTTTCAGTGTATACACACATTTTAATATCTGATATAAATTAAAAAATAACAAACAAGGCAAAAAAATTAAGCTAGGTGCATCCTGCAAAGATTCATCAAAAACCATGGTAGCAACCATGAAATTATTTCTTTTCTATATTTTTTTTTTTCGTTTAATACAAAAAATTGTTTTAAGAGTTAAATATCTACTTTTATTATAGCATAGTAAAAAATTCTGCAAAGTAAATAAAGTCGTATCAAAAAAATATTTAAATATTTTTCTATTATTACTTTTTTTTTCCGTTGTAATTTCACATTAACTGTTAATTAATATGTTTCTAGTTTTTATTTTAAAGAAAATAAGAGGTATTAGTAAAACATTAGTTTATTTATTTAAGTTTTTAAAATATGTAAATTATATGTATTAGTAACAAAATATTCCTTAATACTTCAAATTTGCATCAATATGCTTAAATTATAATCTATATCATTTAAGTAATTTCACTAACATTAAAATTTTTAAATATTTATTAAAATCCTATAACTATAAATGCATTAGAATATATAAAAATGCAATAAGTATTAATTTTTGTCATTGATAAAAAAAAAAAATTAACGAGTTCAATATTTCATAAGAAGGCGGAAATTGCTAAAACTGACACTCTAAAATGTATATTATTTTAATTTAATATGTTATTTCCTATTTACAAATGAATAAAAATTAAAATATCTCTGAGGTGAAATGAACATATTCCGAAATATGTAAGTTATGAAGTTATGTACACTTATATAGGTATACTCAGTGTTCGGGACGCTACTACTTTTTTGTAACACACATAGCCCCCTCCTAACGTTACAACAGGTAGTCGGAAAAAATGACCACGGAAAAAATTTATGAAAAAAACTCATTTACCTAATTTAAATTATTTTCAGAGAATTTTTTCCGTGAGTTTTTCTTTTCTTTTTTTTTTTGGGGGGGGGGGGATTCACTATAGCCATACTTCTAAAAAAAGTAGCTCGTTATTGTTACTGCTACTTATTTTAAATGTACCGCACTACTTTTATATAAATACTCCAGATGTTAATAAAATAATGGGAACATATTTGATATTTATGTACAGTAATAAATAATAAAAATTAACAACTATTATATTTTCTATTATTATTTATCATACACATCAATATATTGATCAAATATATATATATCAATTTATTATGTGAGTTAATCTCTATGCGTTTCGAAGTTTTATCTGAGATTAGACTCTAGATCATTACATAGTATCAAAAATCATAGGTATAACATCTTAAAGAAAACATAAAATGTATTCTTTTTTTCCTTTTGTCGAATCAGAAGATTATAACTCTTAAATACGAATGGAATTTTAACGAGAGGCTATATGAACCGAATTACAAAATCGACATTCGTTCGGACAAAAAAAACGTTGGTCGACCCAAATAATTGTATTGATATATATATTTTATTCATGAGATGCCGTCTCAGATTCAAGAATAGACGTGGAAATCTCTACAGTTGGTCGTTAATTAACCGAATTCTCGATCATTGGTTGACATCTCTTCAGCTGAGTCCGTTAGACAAAATACCGGTATTTTATTTTGATAGCTATTTTTTTATTTTTATTTTGTTCTCAGTATTTTCTTTGCAGTGAAGGTGAATAAAGAAAACAAGAGACAATGCTAATATTACACTGAAATGAAATAAATATACAAATCGCCGTTAAAAAATACACTATATATCCGTATAATATATAACATAATGGACGTGTGTTGCGAAACACAGTGCTGTTGATGCTAGCTGCTGTACGTTTTGACACGGGCCTTCGACTACGGCATCTATAACGTTTTCCTTTCAAAACTTTCACAACCCGAAAACGAGTTTTATGTGCCACCCGATGTATGCCGTAAATGGCGCACAGAAAGAGATGAAAAATAAAAGAAGAAAAAACGGAGAACAAATAAAAATCGTCCGTCAATCCCTGAAGGGATTTACATTTTATATACACAGTGGAAGGGGTAATATGTGTGTATTTTAGAAAATGGACGACAGAATAATAATATGTATAATGTATATTTGTAGATACCTATGTAGACACAATCGAGCGTAAAAAATTATTGAAAAAAATAAACCGGCTTTCGAGAACATCCCCTCAGATAGACACCATTGTGTATGCCACCCCTATATATCATAATAAAATATTATATAATATGTATCGCGAGCATTACCATTTTCGAAGACGGACCACCGCGTGCCGATGGCTAAATCACTATGTCCTCATATTATATATACCTACCTACGTCATATATGCATAATGCATATACATTATATATCGTTATGATTTTAGTGCGTGCGTATACAAGACACAAGTCCCTATCGTTATTGCACAGTTTTTCTCACGATTATATTATATACTATTATCGTCGTGTCCGGCTAACCCTTTTTTTTTGCTCTTTTCGTTGCAGCTGGTGTCTGTTGGTCAGCCACGAAGATGAATCACGAACACGCATATATGTACATGTAAATATTATTTGACATTTGTATAACTATATATTATAACAATGATGAATAATATGTGTATGTGAGTGTGTAATGCATATATTATTTTATATATAGTATCGAAATGTCTCGATACTGGTTTTGGTCACCTGGAACACACACACACACACTAACATAATATATATGTATATATATATATTATATTATATAAAGTAAAGGAATAATAATAATAAAAATAATCGTTATTCTTTTTACGCGCATCATAACGGTCTATGAGGACATTGTGGACATTTTAGTAACTCCTCCGTGTTATCAACAACAACAAACGGCTAATAATCTTTTCTTTATATAACTATTCGTATAAACATAAAACTTATTACCTACGGTTATTTCCAACGGACGCGATTAAGTGCGCCCACTAATCTATATACTACAGTATTCCTACTGGTCAACGAGCAATTTAAATAAAAAGTTGTCTATACTAATACCTATATTATATTTTGATGTAACATACGTGCGTTTTGATTCGTTTATAACTTACATGGAATAAAATATTATATGTATATTATTGAAATTAAGTACATATGATTTGGTCTTACAAACTTTTTAAATCAGTCGTCGTTTTTACTTCATTAAATATTTATATAGAATCTACAGTATATTTATTGATATATTTGAGCATTTAAGAATATAATTTATATTCGTTCTGAATATACATTAATAATATAAAATATTGTTCATTCTAAATTATTTACATTTTATTTTTGTATATGATGCATGGCACAACATTCAGGTTACAATATTCACAATATTTATAATTATAAATATTATATATATTACCAAAAATCATGCGTTTAATCAGTATATGTTTACCTATATTATATTTCAAAGTAACATACAATATAGCATCAACTTATACTAATGTATATTTTTCCCAATTTTTTAATAAAAAAAAATACATACATACCTTTGGAGAACAGTAAATTTATTATATATATTATTACAAATTTAAAAAAATCTTAGGAGCAAAAATCATAACAAATAGTCTTAGTGGCTTAGCCCCCTCCCTAAATTTTACTACTGCAGATAAATGCTTTTTTGTGATAAATATATAATTTAAACGTGAAAACTTTTAGTAACTTGTCAGTTTATAGACATAAATATAAAAAACATAATTCTAAATATGTTGATGTGAAATTGTATGTAAAAATATGCTTGAACTTTCATATCTTAAGCCGGCTACTGTGTATAAGTTATAATCTGTTATAACACATGTTATTTAATAGCTTAAGTATAAATGTACTCAACCACTTAAACATTAAAGTGAAACTCTGCGAAGAAAAATATATTGAATTTAATGAATAGGTGTGTTCAAGCAAGTTGATTTTAATTATATCATGATATTCCAAAATAATAAGATACAGTAATAATTTTGTGAGGCTCAAAAATATATTAGAAAAATAATAATGCATAATACGAGTATATACCTATACATTTTTTTTCTTGATTGGAGTTGTACCGTTATTTATATACCCAATTATAAAAAACAAAAACCCGCTTTACGTATAAAATAAATATATTTAATATTATAGTGTGCAATTATTATGATATTTTATTTACAATATAAAAATCGGTATTTTGTTTTCTCATAAAAAAAACAAAGCTAATATATATAAAAGAAATTTTCATAAATTGCATAACTCCAATATGATAGAATATAATAGTACTTTTCATTTTTCATGATATGATCACACTTTATAGTTAATGTATGATAGCAATTGTGTTAGACTTTATGATACAAATATCATAACATTGATATAAGTAATACATGTATCTTAAAAAATATTATGACATATTTATTTATAATTATGCTCAATTTAACAAGTGTATTGATTTATAAATGTCATATTTAATACGTACTTCCTATTGAAGCTCATCAAAATATATTGCAAATATTAATTTTTAGAATTGATTCTCATGTATATGTTATTTTATCGATGGCAATACTTATGCTATAAATCGGTATTAATGATAAATATTTGCAATTTAATAACCTCCGTATTAATTTTAGAATCTGATGGAAAATTTCAAAAATTTTAAATTTGCATAAAATTTCTTAATCATTTAACATTTTAAGATTCTTAAGAACATTAGTTTGATTTTACATATAAAATATTTTACTATTTAAAGTAGTTCATAAAAATTATATTTGTTTAAAAAAAAATTATATCATTCAATTCACTCAATGTAATTTACTCCAACACATATAACGTAAACACATATTTATCATTGTTTCAATAAAATATAAATTGCTAATTTATTACTAACTACGTACGATTACTCATATAATGTTGATGATGTGATAATTTTCACGATAATAAATAATTAAACTACATTTAATTCTTATTGTAATCATAAAAAGTATATAACTAATTTCAATGAATTTTTATTATTATTATTTTTTTTTTTTATTGAATTAAAAATAGTATTAAAAAAATATTTATAAATTATAATCTATGTTACAAAGCATAATAAGCAAATTAGGAAATTAAAAGAATTAACAATAACAACAATGATATTATACACATGAAGAGAGAGGCCGTCCAATAATAAAACCCAACGTTAATTTGTTTTTTTTTGCAAATTATTTATTAACGGTTAGTTAATTGTTAATCATTTAATAAATCTCGACATGATTTTCTTTTAAGACAGCGTTTGAAATATTTTCAACATTATTAAACAATAATTAATGTATTAGTTTAATTATCACACACGCCGTTCATTAAATCAAACGAATCGTAAATCTATAACTTTTTATAATTTTTTGAGTTATTAATATAATATTATGTTTTTCATAATTCAATTAGTACTATATTATAGTAAAACTACAATCGTTAAGATGTCTATAATTGTTTTTGACGTAAAAATTAATGAATAGGTCTTACAAAATAAATTTTATAACTTTTATTAATAATTTACTTTTCGTGCTATATATACTTATATCAGATATAATACCTAACAGATAGTTTACAACTAAAAGGTGGAATGTAGTTAACACCTTGCTATAATATATTCATTATTCATAATTATTAATACCAAAATAAAATAAAACAAGCTTATAAACCTATTACATCATAGTATTCTCGTATTATAATACATACACGCATATAAATATTATATATATATATATATATATAGTTATGCGTAAGAAATGAATAGACATCAATTATTTTTTTTTTACTTTCGAGTATTTCAGTTAGTAAAAATTTAAATCATTCATTTTTATGTATAAAATAAATTGATTGAGGAGAGCACTTAATTATAAATACCTAATTGGGTTTAAAATTATACATTACTACTTTAATTTGTTCTACTCAAAACTGTAAAATGTGTAAAAATATACACAGACATACACGATACACATCAATTGAAAATTCAACTAAAATGGTATTTCTAAGCTAATATTTGTTTAGCAATCAGCGTAACTATATATTTGCAAGGTTCTAGAAACCCATAATGAATATAAAGATTATTAACATTTAACTCTGCTAGGAGTCTTTTTACAAGTCTTATCGTGAGCTTTTTATCATCATATATCTACTCAAACTTACTTATTAAACAAAATTATAGATTGTAAATATTTAATTAACGCATTTTTTATATATTTGTATTTATTCAAATATTCGTACTCCTAATTAATTTAAATATTTTTAAATTAACCTACAGTTATAATTAAAATTTTTTAAATTAATCAGTTATTTATAGTCGAAACTTCATAACTATTCAATACATTTTCTTATTTTATTTATTATATTTATACATAAATCTATCTTTAAATTATTTAAATAAAAAAAAATTAATATAATTTAGTTCTTATCGCAAATTAAAATTATTTATGAACATTAAGTATTGAATGCAATTTAAGTTGGTTTGAACAGAAGAGAAGCACAAAACAGTTGTTCCGATTAAAAACGCCAATATAATATTATATTATGTCCTTGAGACAGTACATTTAATTTTAATTGGAAATAATTAGGTACAATAGAAATACAGAACAGAAAAAAATATTTTTATTTTTAGTTTCTTCAGTGGACTGGATTCCTTAATTTAATAAAAAGACTTAAAACCAGTTTAAAACAATGTTATACAACAGATGAGTTTATCTATTTTTTTTTTATTTTTTTTATATTAAAATAAAAAAAATGCATATCTTATTAAGGTTTGGCCTAAATTTGTATTTTTATTCTTTTTTTTCTTTCACTTAATTTTAAAGTATGAAAGTATTGGTCAAAACCTTGGTTTGTCCATAAAATTTGTGACCAGAGAGGACATTATTTACACACACTGATTTTATTTCATCATTAGTTTTACTGTAAAATAAAAGTCTGAAAAATAATTTAAAACGAACAAATGTAATATACTGGTTTATTAAACTAAATCTAATAAATGTTAAAACTTTGCACCCATTATATTATCTTCAATTATTAAAAAATTATAGTTACTTACTACAGAATATAAGCACTGTATGTATTAGATATAAATAGGAAAGTGTATTTAAAAAATAAATACCAAATGTAATATTGATATTACATTTTCATGCAAATTATTCGGGGACATATATAATAATCGATCCATAGGTTTCTTATGCTGATAATACTTAGAAAGCTTAATAATTATAATAGTACTAAAATACATAGTAGATATGTTATATTCAATACCGAAGTTACTTGATTTTCCATGCACATTTTAATATTACGAGTACCCATGTCATAACTCTATTTCTAACTAACATTTGGGATTGGTGCCCATAATATATTATATTCGTATTATATACTCAGAGCATATATATCTATACAATACTGTATTTGGGTGCTTGGGTGAGGTTCAAGTTACGCATTCTCTCCACTTATAATTATAGAAACAAGTGTAAATATATATATGACTTTGACCATTAAGCATTAAAATAATTATAAAATCGTTAAAAAAAAAAATAAAATAAAATACAAAATCACAATATTGAGCAACCTACGTTCAATAATCAGAAATGTTTACCATAATGATTCCCAAACTAATTGGTTAACGCAACCCCCCCCCCCCCCCCCCCCCCAAAAAAAAAAGAAAGAAAAAGAATAATCGCTCCTCTCTTTAATTAAGTGAAACATTGTTTATTAATATCCCAGTACCTAGTAATACAGTGTAAATAATAACAATATTTACCCTGAATATCTCCTGTTTAGTGCTTATACCTTCCAAGGGAGCCGTGCCTCACGATTTGGAAACTGTCATGAACTGGATTTTTATTTCAACATTTTAACTTAACAATAATTGATCCGTTTATAAAAAATCAAAACAAAATAATAAAGGCTTTCAAGAAAACTGGCAAATAAAATATACTAGTAGGAACACATAATATATGTACGTACCTAAAAGTTAAAAAATGGTTTAATATAAAAATAAAAATGCTGTGAATTAATTTCACCTCTCATTATCAAAGTCACCTTATTCTATACAGCTCAAGATAAATTAAAATTAATTTATTCATCAACGAAAGCGGTAATAATTTTACTGGGCGTTTCTATTGATATATTTATCAAACAAAAAATATATCTTAACACTCAGTGCAAAGTATTTTGTTAACAATAAAATTTCAAGGAATTTCATGATAAAGATTTCTATACTTATTACAATTTTTAATTTATTGTGCTAAAATATACTTAATTGATAAAATGATTTTTTTTTTCAAATTAGCGTTACATTCATAAAGCATTTCATATTATTGAGGTTTAACAATGGTATTTAACTAATTAAATAGATTGAATGTAAGAATGATTATATTTTACTGCAAATAATTTAAACATTTTTACTAGTTGGTGTAATAATAATTGAATGATAGTAAGTATAAATAGTTGTATTACACTATCTTTTTTTTTATGAAAAATACTATTTATTATGACAATAGAAATAAATTAAATAATACACATCTATTTCAAGCATCACTTTTTGAGCCCAAAAAAACACCTCAAATTTCAACTCGGACTTAGACATCTAGACATATAAACTAAACAAAGTTAAAAATTGTATATAACACCTAAATAAAATTGTAAGAATACTAAGTGTATTAACACTATAAAAAAAATTAATAAATGAAAAAAAAAGCATAATTTTCTGAATTAACTATTTGCTTCCATCCGTAATTAATTGCGTATTCTATAATATTTTTATAATTAATATTAATATTTATTTATTTTCATTAAAGATTTAAAGTTCAATATTATTATTTTAATTATGTATAATATGTAATAATAATCAATATATTTTATTAAAAATTGGATCTATTTCCGTATATAAATAAATTACTATTATTATTATAATATGATATATAATTATAAGCATTACTGAAAATAGTTATGTAAGACATACATCACAAAGAATATGGTAGTAACATATTATTAAATGTATAATAATATGTAATCGTGTCACCGCTCGTAATGTTTATAACATGCAATACATACCTCTATTAGATTTATAAAATGGCGCCTGTAAACCACTCCCTCCATATAAACTCATTATTTTAAACCCCTTTCATTCATACATTTTTTATATGTAGTTATTATTCATTACTGTAAAATATCACTTTATTACTCTCAGAAAGTACTTCAATAGTTAGTCTCGATGCTTCTGTACTGGTGTAGTATTTTCATTTGTAATAGGCGTAACGTTTTTTAAATAGGGCTCTCCATAACCGTATTTTTAACTAAAATCGTGTTTAAATCCATATAGCTAAGATAATAGATTGGTGATATACTGATAAATGTATACATATTATTATAGTATTATACTTTTAATTTTATTATAAATCAATATCTCCATCTAGTATCAGTAGTATCTACTATGAATTTTAATATTAATAAAATTTAAGTCCGTACATATTATATACATACATTAATCTAATAATAACCTAAAAATCATATTTAACCATACAGTCTCTGTAGTTTTAAATAGGTAAATAGCTGTGGTAAAATCTAAAAAATTTATCTATATGATGTACCTATAAGGTAATAAATTGTCTACCCTAACTTTTGAGTACCTAATGCAAATATTAATAAAATAAAAATATAATAAAAATATAATAGGTACTTATATATTAAACCGAAAATTAAAACAGATACCTAACACAAGTATATCGTATATATTGTATTTTTCCCCGTCCTGCGAATAAAACATAAATTATCCATTCAATATTAACATGTAGATATATTAATACATTAATAAAATATTATAAAACTAATTGCATATCATATGTTGTCATGAAATTTTTGCACATTTGGAAAATCTGTGTTAACTTATAGAATTTTTAAATTTACTAAAAAGTGATTAATAATTATAATATCTACAATAACCTAAATTTTGTTTTACTTAGTAGCTATTATAATATCATAGTTCCCTATAAAGAATAAATGTTATATTACAATGTTTTTTAAAAAAAAATAATATAAATTAGCGAAAAAACAAGTGATTAAAATAATTTTTTAACTGTTGGTCAAAAAATCTTCAACAATAACTTAACTAAGGTTTGTTATATTAACCAAGACAAATAGTTTTTGTATTATTTTTATGGGACAATCTATTATTACTCCTCCACGGTCAACCACCAATTTTAATATTTTATTTTATCGTAACTGATTTACTGAAAAATCTCACAAATTATGGTAAGCACTCTACAACATACGTCGTTAACTATTAAGAAGGCTTTACAATTTACATGCTAGCGTGTACGTACTTTCAGTAAATAACAGCCCCCCAAACGTTTCATAATAGTTAAATTGTAACTATTACGGTTATATTGTTTATACCATGTACCTGAAAAATGTGTTTAAAAAGTTCAAAAATATGGGAACATAATTAATCGTGTATAATCTCTCTGGTATACTAAAAGTGTACCATGTTTACCAACCAATCACAGCAAAGGATTTTTATGCACGTGCTAGTGTATGTGAAATTTATGAGTACTTACTTCCTAACTGGCAAAATTATTAAATAACAAAAAGTGATTATAAAAATCAATGAACATTATTGTCTATTATTTAAGTAATCAACTTGATTATTTTACCATTTATCAAAATATTAAGCAATAACGTTTTTTTACTGAAATTTTTAGCTTAATTCCGAGACATTTAGCAGTTTCAAAATACTTTATCAAGACATCTGGATGGTGTATTTGAAACCAGCACAGTTCTGGCTAAACCGGGAAATATATAGTAATTTTATCTTAGCTATATAATTAATAAAACCATGGTCTTACCAATACATGTATCTAAATATTTTCTTACTAATGTTTAATACATTTGTACCTAAATATTATACATTATTATTTAAGTAAATTTTATGTTAAAATAGGTTTAGCATGTTTTTGGTATTTATATGTATATTTCTCTCCATAAACTATAAATTAATCGAGTTTACGATGCTATGTTTTTTTTATTCTCAATACGTTATATTATATTTATATAACGTCACATTGACGTCATACACTCGCACAACTAACTTTACTATGCTGACATAATATTATTATGAATTCACCTATAGGCTATAGTGCTGCTGTATCTTCATGTAAAATGTGAAGACCAAAACCTGAATTTAATAAAAATTAGTAATAACTGTTTAGAAACCTTATTGATAAAAACGCGATGATGACGTGCAGCATACATTAAAATAAAAAATACTATGTAAAAAAAATCTTTAAAATATAAAATAGTCTGGAAACACGCGATGGAGCCGGTGTCGGACCATACCACACACACACACGAGCGCGCGTAATTTATAAGTACTAAAAGTACTATAAGTAGACATATATTATTTGTATAACATATAATATGTGTAATGAAATGATTTTATTGATTTTTCGTAAAAAATATATGTATATAATTAATCCTTTGAACACTTATATGTAAAACACGTTTTACATATGTAGGTAAGTCACTATATGCTGCAAGTGACTATTTGTGAATTTTTACACACTGTAATTTTAATATGTTCTATACATTTTATATATATAACATATAACATAATATAACAATTTAGATACATGTACGTATATATTATTGTAAATACGTATTCCATCAAGAATTGAACTAATCACGATAAATCAATTTCTACTACGTGTTTATTGTAATTACTTCGTTTGTGTTGTATTGTTACGTATATATATAATATAATTTATACATAATGTGATATATATATTATAATATAATATAAGAATAGATTTATAGTCTGCAATGCATATAGATAATAAAAAATAGAGACGTCGCGAATCGATAAATTTAAACTTAGACAATATAGTTATTTGAGTAATTTTATAATTGTATGTTAATGTTTTGTTATTCTTCAAAAATTGCGCGAAAATTTAATTTTTATGTTGTACCCAATTTCACTTTTGCTTTATAATAATAAACAAAAATTCGTAATACGTCATGAATTATCTTAGATTTTTATTCTGTTTATTATTATTTTTGTTAGTTATTAATTTATAACAAATATTTTGTGTGAAATGTGAATGAACATGTCAGAAATACGACATATAAAGTTTACGATAATCCATATCAAGGCTAGAGTAATAAGACATTATATTTTATTGCATATACCTACTCTTCAGGCTATTTTTATATAATAATATTATAAATTCGTTTTAGCCGACAAAAATATATTAATGTCGAGTAATGCTTTATAAAAGGATTGCGCCATCACGCCAAAGTCAGTCTCGTAATATTATGCATCATTCTTAATTTATTTGCTCGACGCATCAATTTAAAAAACTATAAATAATCGATTTTTTTTTTTTAATAAGTATTTTTTTTTTTTTTTATTGCTTAATACAGGCTATTAAGGCTTCTTGCCACAACAATCACTTCTTCCCACCGTTCTCTATTTTTACTCCAATCAAACTCAGATCCTGTCTTGATGTACGCGGTTACGCTATCATTGCCTCCGTCATCCCAAGGGTTTTTTCTTAATTTTAATCACTAATTGTTTTTTTTTTTTTTTCATTTAGATCCCTTAAGTCTCCTAACATTTTTAAGCATACAGCATCTCGTTCTTCTAGAGCTTTCTAACAGTCATCATCAAACCTTTATTCTTTTAATTCTTATTTTATTTGTTTTCCAATTCTTTCTTTGCTGTGTATTTTAATGCTTTCTCTAAGTTTGTACAAACATTTTCAACATTATCTTCCTTGTCTTTGTGTTGTTATACAAAATTTTCTTTATATTTCTTGGATTTTTCTGTGTTTTCTAATTATTTTATATTAAACTATGAACATTTAAAAAAATTGTCCTTATTTTTTTTTAACTGGTAGTCTTATTTATATCTTGGCATTCACTAAAAAGTGATCATAATTGTCACTTACTTCTCTGTGACTTTTTACATTCGTTATATATTTTATTTTATAATCAATCAGCGCATGGTAAATTTGATTTTTGATCATTCCATTAAGGGATACCCAAGTCACCTTGAGTTTATTTTTAAGGGGTAGATAATATATGCATATTATACATTTTAAACTTATTACCTACTTAAATTGTTTTATATTTATAAAAATGTTTATAAATTACCATTAGAAATAATAATTGTGTTTCTTACATTATTATTAAAATTTATATTATTTTATATTTATATTTTAATTATTATAAATATGTCAAATTCATAGTATTCTCTTATTGTAAAATTAAATACTTAGTGTTTGTGAAATTGAACTTAATAAACACAAGCAAGTATAACAAATGAACAAGAATCAACGTCTACTTAATTTCGTGCCGATCAATTTTAGAACGACTGGACTAGTGACTCAGAGCTTATAATCGTGAATAATTACTAAGAAATTAAAAAAAAAAAATAAAAATAAAATGATTAAAGTGAAACTTTAATAGTTGATTGATACATTTGTTAAAATCACGATTCTTTCAATTCGTGTACGTATCCTTTACTTATTTTTAAAAGTATGTAAAATATTTCTCATACATAAATTGCAGAAAAAATGAAAATAAACCAACGTACAAACACAGACATACTATTAATTTTATGTTTAGTAATTTTACTCGAATAGTAAAATTAACAACACACATTTTGTACTGCTGAACAAAAATTATCTATATTGTGCGTATGTCGGAGAAATTGAATTTATATATTTTTAAATAAATATGCTGATTGTTGATTGTTGACATCATTTACCGAACCAATATTAAAAAATAACAGTTAACAGTTAGATTCTCTTATAATTTATTAATAATTTATATTGTATTACTATCAACTTTTTGTATTATGTGACAAAATAATATTGACAAGTAACTACTGAATAGTAAATTATACTTTGCCTTAATAATATATAATATCATTAAATATTGAGGCTCTCTTGTAAAATATAATATCTATCCTGTATTTCCGTAACTTGTAAGTACTATCAATGTATATCAAATGTTCTATGTTAATATTATAATTTATTGATTTATTTTTATCTATGATTGATTAACAAACAAAATAAGAATACAAATTAAAAATATCCAAGTACTATTGACTGCATCTTTACATTAGAGCATGATAATTGTATTATAAAACAAAATATATTTATCAATATTTAGACCGATTATTAATATTTAGTACGTATATGATACAAAAATACATAGATACGACATGTAACCGCACGCTAAAATAGCCACTTATTTTATATATTATACCTATTTATTAATTATCTCATTATGTATTGCAATAATTATATTATTACTAGATATAATATTATATTATAAAGCTTGTAATAGCCACACAGTCAAGATATTTTCATCTATTGCATAGTAATCAATAATTATACCGCAGTGATCAATATAATAATATATACATGATAATTACATGTAAAAAAACAATATACTGTAGTTATAATGTATATTATTACAGTTTATTACATAGAATAGAATACTTGCCTATTACATGATTCACACATACACATACCAATCTATATTAACTTTTCACAGGGGCATAACAACCCGTCATAATAAGTGAACAGAACTGCCAATATTTTGCACAAAAATATAGCTTAATCAGCCATTATATAATATTTTATACTTTACAGATATATTAAATTCATAACATGTTAATTATTAAAAATAATTAATATATATGTTTAATTTTAATTATAAGTATTCGACTATTTTACTGTTATGAAATTAACCTACTAATATGAGAAATATTACCCATATATTATTATCCTAGTTCTGCGATAGCAGTCAACCGGTGCGCACGCGTTTTGTCTGTGTGCCTTCAATGTGTTTACTATTCCCTTACCTACCTCAAATTTCGCGAATTTGCTTACAGGTTGTAATGTTATTCAACTTACTTCTTTTGTTTTTTTTGTTTCTTTTCTTTAAGTTTATCTTATTCACTTGTTTCATTATAAGTATACTACTCAAAATAACTATTTCGCAAACCGTCATAAACGTATACGGGTCATACCGTATACGTTGTTTCTTATTAAGTGCCGCCGCGGCAGCTTTGTGGTTATTGTGATTATTATATATGTTATGGTGAATGATGTAAACGTGGTAAAAGACGTCATTCCCCGGTAAATGACATCATTTACCTAAAAATTGGTAAACGTTGTAAATGCAGACATTCCCCGGTTATTGTCGTCAATCACCAGTTTAATCGGAGAATGATGTTTAATACTTTTATTTCAGTGTGAACGATCAGTGATAAACGTGTAGGTACCGAATAAGCTTCGTTAGTTAAAAATATCATGACGGAAGTAGATAGATAAACGAAAATCCCAACTAGCAATAACGTCGATTCTTTTAGTTTATTAGATAGTATCGACGGGCATATTATAACAAGTTGTATTTGCTACAAATATGTGTTAATATTATTTGTAAAAATGTGTGTACTAGTAAGTTATGGTACTAAAAAATGTGCTTGAAATGCAGCGGAAATGTTGTGTAGTTTAAAATATCATGGTAATTAAATTGTACAAATAAATAATTTGTAATATGCATGTATTTTAAAATTTTTAATTAACCTATTATTTCCTATTATCTCCTTCAAATAAATGCCTAAAATAAAAAATGAAACATCCACCAACACTAAGTCATTATTATAAATAGTACCTATAGTAAAAAAATCAGTGTATTATTTGAGATTTATCATCATTTACCACTAGTTTTGGTAAATGACAACAATGACCGGTGAAAGATGTACATTTGAATTTAAAATCTGGTTTTTTATATCATTTACCTACAAAATCGAATCATTT